AGCATCTCAGTCTGGAGCTTTATGACATCATCTACTTACTGATCCTTTTAAGTGGCGAAGATGCCGGGGATTGAATCTGGGAGTTTCTGCATGCCAAGCAGATGCCGTACCTCAGATGTTGTACCACAGCCCCATTACCACACTTGTGACCAGTGTTCCCTCTAAGCTGAGTTAGTGTGAACTGGCTCACAGTTTTTTAGCCTCCAGCTCGCAAATTTTTTGTCTTCGCTCAGGAAGAATGGCTCCAAAGCAAACTAATTTCTGCAGTAGCCGAATCGCTCGCTCAAGTCACAGCTTAGAGGGAGCATTGCTGGTGACCATGCTGTCATTGTAATATATTACATAACCTTTGACTCATATTTTTAACTGATGTCCAGGCTAACCTTGCCACCTATTCCTTATTTAAAGGAACGACTCCTTATTTAGTACTGGTAATGGAATAGAAGAGATGCACCATAACTACAAAGGGCAACTTTCTTTTAATATATTCCCAGGACAGTATATTCATGTTCTGACACACCCATTCTCTCTCTCTCTCTCTCTCTCTCTCTCTCTCTCTCTCTCTCTCTCTCTCTCTCTCACTATCAAGTTGCAGCCAGCTTATTGTGACCCTGTAGGGTTTTCAAGGAAAGGGGCATTCGGAGGTGGTTTGCCATTGCCTACCTCTGCGTCCCAATCCTGGTATTCCTTGGCGGTCTCCCATCCAAATACCAATCAGGGCCTACCCTGCTTAGCTTTTAAGCTCTGAGGAGATCAGGCTAGCCTGGGCGATCCAGGCCAGGGTCACGTTTTCTTCGGGGGTCTTATTTTAGAGCCCTGCAGGGGGCAGCCCCAGTTTAGGCGGAGGTCTTATTGCCAGTGCCCCGCCCTCCCTCCTCACACTAGAAGACAGTTGCCTTTATCTGCCGGAAGAGGGATGACTTTCATCTGCCAAGAGCCACCTGAAGTCTCTCTGATGAGACCATCCCCTTTCCTGTTTTCTCTCTTTATCTGGCCCTGGAGATGAAGGTGGAGCCGGAGCTGGCATCAGGACGAGTGCCAGTGAGGCCGGCTCTCATGGAAACCTTGCCAGGTGCTGGGAAGGCTACAGCTGAGCAACCCGGTGTTGCTTGGGTGATACTCAGCCTCTCTGGGTTTCTTTTGGCCTGCAAGATAATTAGCTTAGTTAATCTGAAATCCTGATTAGCCAGAAGACCTGGGGCGGGGCCTCTTCGCTTTTAGGCAAACAGGGCTGCTGCATCTGGACCTTGCATAAGAGAAAGCATTGTGGACATAGTACATAGAAGACCAAAGGGCAGTGGATCTTCAATATGGAAAAGAACAACAACCAAGATTTTAAATACCAAGTTTTATCAGCCAGGAAGGGGAAATACAGTTTTGGAAGAGTGAAAAATGGCTTCCAGAAAAGGAGAAAATAATACTTGGTATTTGTATGCTGCTTTCATCATTCAGAGCACTCCAAATACATCAACATCCCTGGAAGGTAGAATAGTATTATTTGAACCTGGGACTTCTCAACTCACCATTTAGGGAGTAATCCTAAGAAGATCTACTTGGGCCCTGTTCACACAGAGAAGTTGCCAAGCTAAAGACACGAATGTCAGGAGAAATTTTCGGTGCGCGATCACACCGCAACATCTGGGAAGTGTAGCGCACCTGTGGCCAACCTGTCGCGTCCTGCTGAAGATGCACAGTAAAAAACTACCTCGGAAAGTGCACTAGTATCCAGAAAACGCGGGGCAGGGGTGGGCGTCTGACCGCGGGAGCGCTAGTATCCCGTGGCATCGTCGCAAACCGGATGTTTTCCATAAGCGCAGGCGCACAAACATGTAACTGACAGCAGTGCTGCTCCACGGAACTGCACATGCGCACAACGCGAAACGCTTGCCACACCGCTTCTTTGCCATGCTGCAGCATCGCCGTGTGATCGCAAGCTAACAGCCGAAGCGCGGAGACTCGAGGGACCGTGTGATCGGGCTACCGCGCTTTATTTTGCTCCGGGGCAAACATCCACGCCTCACCCCCGTGTTATCTGGCCTGTGTGACGGGGGCCTTGGAAGGAAGTCCCAATTCAGTCCATAGGGCCATAGAGTCCACCTTCCAAAGCAGCCATTTTTGCCTAGGGGAACTGATCTCTGTAGTCTGGAGATCCCTGTAGGTTTAACAACGAGAGCATCACAGAAATAAAGATCACGATATGAAAAAATATGCAATGAAAAATTACTATGAAAATAGTTGCAATTGTATTAACATATTAATCCAATGTAACATAACCACCCTTTAAATGCTGTTTGCAAGAAGCGGGGCGGGGGGGGGGATGGGGATGTGTGCCTGAACTTCAAGCAGCGAATGTGCTGCCTGGAGTTCAGGCATGTGGCCAATGGCCGCCCCTCTCCTTCCCTCCTTCAAGATTTAAAGGGCCCTCCAGCTGATCAGTGGGCCATGTGCTCCCGTCGATCAGCTGGAGGGCCCTTTAAATCTCACAGGAGGGGAGGGAGAGGGGTGGCCACCGGTGGCCATTCTTGGGGCAGGCTTGGGGCAGGGCTTCCCCAGCCCACCAGCTGGCCGGCGGCGGGCAGGAGCCCACAAAATCAGGGGATCCTCCACCCACACCTGGGAGCAGGCATCCCTAGTCATAATTCCAGGAGATCTCCAACCATCCCCTGGAGGTTGGCAACCCTAGTTGGCGGGTTGATTTTAATGGTTTTACGGTGTAATTTTATCTATACGTTTTAAATTGTTAGCCGCCTTGGCGGCCCTTGTAAGAGCAGAAAGGTGGGATATAATTTTTAAAGACACATAAATAGAGGCTCTGCACAAGGATTTTTCCATGCACATAATCTCCCTCTGTAGTGTATTCTGAAGCTGCCAGGAATACCTAAGATGTAATGTGAAACATCTCATAAGGAAGCAATGTTAAGCTTCCTCTTGAACAAGGATTGAAGTTCAAGACTAATGCGTCCAATCAGGTTCAAATGTATATAAGCGGGAAAGACTCTGATTGGTCCTTATTCGCTCAACCTGATAGGTTGATAACTGTATAGTAGGAGTGGCTACATTAGCCCGGAATGTTTAAATACGGAGCAGCTGCAATGGAAAAGCTGTTCGGGCTATCAGAAGTTGTACCGTGTTAGAGAAGTGATCGTCGAGCTGAAATAAACCTGAGTTTTGCTGAAATCACTCTCTGACTATTTTGTTAAGCACCGGACTTAACACCCTCCCTTTTAAAAATAAAAAAGTATTAGATGTTTTTTAACTGTAATGTTAGGACACCGCAGTGATATATTTAAAACCTCTGAACGAAAGTGACTGGCCCCAAGGTCATCCAGTTTATTTTATGAATGAGGTGGGATTTGAACCCAGCTCTTTAGGCCTAATTAAGAACTCTGTGGGATAGGAGAGAGCAGTAGGGTTACCAACTCTGGGCTGGGAAATTCCTGGAGAAATTTGTGGGGAGGAGCCTGGGGAGGGCAGGGTTTGGGGAGGAAAGGGATCCTGGCAAAGTATAATCCCATACAGGGCACACTCCAGAGCAGCCACTTTTTTCCTGGTTAACTGATTTCAGTCGTCTGGTGATCAGTTGAAATTCCAGGGTATCTAAGGTGGTGGCTGGAGATCTTCTGGAATTACAACTGTTCTCCAGGCAACAGAGATCAGTTTACCTGGAGAAAATGGCTGCTTTGGAGGGTGGACTCTGTGGCATTGTACCCTATTGAAGTCTCTCCCCTCCCCAAACCATACTGTGGTCAGGCTCCACCCCCCCCCCCAAATCTCCAGGTATTTCCCACCCCAGAACTGGCAACCCTACAGATATCTCCAGGCCCTACCTGGAGGTGGGCAGCTCTAGAGATAAGGGATGAAAGCTTCTTCTTGCAGGCTGTTTGTGCAATCAAAATTTTTCCTGAACGGCTTTCTCTCCTGAGGAAAAAAGCAACCCAGGCTGATTTGGATCAGGAAAAAAATGACTCACGTGGAAATAGTTAAGCGCCCTCTCTTTTGTTAAAAGGACAGGGCATTTCCCCCCAAGCCCTTTGACAAGCTGGTGAGAAGTGGGCCTCCTGAGAGAAAAAACTGGGTTTTGTTCCATTCAATTGGAATGGTGCCCACAACATGCCAAGCCAGTTTAGCTGAGCTCCTTACATTGCTCTGAAATGTCACTAGGTTCACCTGGTTTCCACACAGAGGTTTGAACTGCTGAGGTGGTTTTTAAAAGTGGCCAGGTATCAATTCTCTTTCAAGGCATTTCTGAATTTGCTGTTCTGTGGCTGCGGTCACACAGAGCATTAGCCACGCTACAGAGATGGAAGATAGGCGGATTTTCCGGGCGCGATCAAACCACAACATCTGGGAAGCGTAGAGCTCCCATGGCGAACCCGAGGCTTCCCGCCGAAGATGCGCTGTAAAAAATTAGTACCTCCGAGGTACTAGTTTCCGGAAACCGCGGGGCAAGGGTGGGCGTCTGATCATGTTTCCGGTGTTGGCTTGTGGCATCCGGCGCCCGCCCATGTCCCGTCGCAAAAAGGGTTTTTTCCCCAAGTCTCCGCGGGATGCGCACAAGCACCCAACGGTGCATGCGCACACTTCGGTTAAAAAAAATACAACCCCCGCCGCGCCGCTTCTTTGCCGTGCCGCAGGATTGACGTATGATCAGCACCTCCCCCGGAACCACGGGACGTCTGCGGGACGTTTGATCCGGCGGTCACACGGTAGTTCGCTCTGGGGCAAACAGCCACGCCCCCCCCTGCGATATCCGGCCCGTGTGACCGGGGCCTGTGCTTCTCAAGCTGCATAAAAGCATAACCAAACATCACCAGAGCGTGTTGAAACCCACCAGGAGCTGTGCTGGCCTGAAACATGATTGTGGCCTTTATGTGCTTTGCAATGTTCCCTTGGTCACCCTGCCGTGAAAGGGAGAGCTCAGCTAACAGAAGCTTTCCCTTTCCCCATTCCATGGTTGTGCATCACAAGCCAACGTCTCCTAGCAACCAGCTCCGCAAAGGATGGCCAGCTTGTCGGCTGAGGGCGTTGAGACCGTCATTAAGCTGCAGGTAAAAACAAAAAAGTTGGAACTGATTCTTGCCACAGGGAGGGGAGGAGAATCCCGGAAATACAATATTTTAAATACGTTGCCAAGCTCCATTCTCCTCGTAACCAGAATAAAGGCAGAAGTGAAACAAAGTCTTGGAGCAGAAGATAATGGTTGAATTTGCAAGTGGAATCCCCATCTTAGAATACAGGTTGTGAGCTATTTGAAGTGGACTGTTTGAGGTTAAAATACCAATGAGATTTTTAGTTTGGGAAACAATTTTGGTGTTTGGTGAGTGTGGATGAATGTTGGTTGGGGGGGGGGGGAGAGGCCAAGTAGTAAGCCTAGAGTTGTGTACAACATTTTTTAAAACACAAAACTAAAAGGCCTGACTTGCTGTGTTTTGATATGGTTATTGCTGATTTTTTTTGAAATGTATTTTTGTGTGTCTGTGATCAGTGGTTCTGCCAGCGTCCTGAATCTGATGAAGCAGGATAACCATCATCATCATGCTCTTATCTTAATCACCTAGCAACTGAGGCTGACCTGGAAAACCCCAAGTCAAAATCCTGCAAAGGCTCCTGTATATCTAAGAGCTGCAAAGAAGATTTTCTCATCAAAGTGTTGTAAAAATGAGGAAAACTGCATTGGATGGATTTTACCCTATTTAGGCAGCCCCAAACTGTCTTCCAAGATCTTTGGAGAATTCGATTTTAAGTTAAGGCACTCATGTGCATCCTCATGTTTTGAATTTGGTTGTAGAAACCAACACCACACACAGAGAGAGAAAATTTGAATTCCTGATTTTTAAAAGCCACTTGATCAATGAAATATTCTGTTTCCTTTTTTTCAGAGCAAGCTTAGGGTGTCTTGATGGGGGAGAAGAGGCTTGTTTTTAATGTAAAAAAAATAAAGTATTGGGCCTTAATTATACATTAATGTTCTGGAAACAGGAACATAACCTCCCACACTCCACAGATGAAAACAGGAATTCTTATACCAAGAAGTACTGTTGTGCAAGAGGCATCTTCAATGCAGCATACATGCTGTATTAATGGCAGACTGTGGTATATTAGTGTTCACTTGCTTACATGTGTGCTATAGACAAGACTAGGGTTGCCAACCTCCAGGTGGTAGCTGGGGATCTCCTGGGATTACAACTAATCTCCAGGCAACAGAGATCAGTTCACCTGGAGAAAATGGCCACTTTGGAAGGCGGACTCTAGGGCAGGGGTGTCAAACTCCTTTTTTATTAGGTCCGGATCTGACATAAATGAGACCTTGTCGGGCCAGGCCATGTGTGTCATAAAATATAATGCCAGGTAGCGGAGATATAAACTTTATAAAGGACACAAGCACAAAGATTTTTTCCCCCACTTAAAATAAAAACATGCTCAAAAAATTAGCTCTGTAAGCTGCAAACCTACTTTTGATATATCAACATTCACCACAGAAATCTCATGCTCAGAGTTCTGAGTCTAGGACCCTGGTTAAAACATGAAATGGCTGAGTGATTAAGAGAGTCTGGTGAAGCAAGCTATGATGCAGCAGCCGCAACAGAACTGTAAGCAGGAGATGGCCACTTCCACTGCGGGCCTGATAGAAGCCTTTCAGGGGCCTCATCCGGCCCCCGAGCCGCATGTTTGACACCCCTGCTCTATGGCATTATACCACACTGAAGTCCCTCCCCTGCCCAAACCCCACCCTCCTCAGGCTCCACCACCAAAATCTACAGGTATTTCCAAGCCTAGAGCTGGCAACCCTAGACAAGACCCATCCAAACTTAATTGCCAGAAGCTTGGGGGAAGGAAGATGATAACTTGTGCAACTCAAACTAGCGATATTTTATTATCGAAAAAGGTCAGAAAAAGGGACAGTGATTTACAGGGGGGAATACTAAAAAATGGGGACTGTCCCTGGTAAATGTGGCATGTCAGGTTGTATGCAGGAAGCACTATGTTAACAAAGGCTTTGTGGCTTTGATTTTCCAAGACAAGGAAGCCCCAGTCAGGGGTAAAATATGTCATAAAAGCGTTTATGCAAAGCTACCACTGTTGAAGCCAATGGAGACAGTCTATGGGTTATTTGTGAGCATAGCAGATATTGCTTTTCTATAGAATAATTGAGCCTTTGGGTGAATTAAATATGAATATTGGGTGCAAGCTCCTAACCTATCTGGCTTTCTTGGAGCTAGCACGTTTATCCAGACCACAACCATTATTACAGTGGGCACTGGGTGAGCTGTCACTGTGGCCTTGGTCTAAGCTGTGTAGTGCTCACAGGGGCTGCTTGGTTCAGTTTGCAACTGGGTTGTTTCAGTAGCCCTGTTCACAAATTACAGTGAATACATGGACAATCTGTGTACAGGGACTTTTCTTTATATGTGCATTGAGTAATTCTCATGTTACATTTGCGTCTACAGCTGAATGCATGATGTGAAACCAGACATTTATCCAGGTTCTGGTCCCCATTTGTAAAATGAACACATGTTGACTCTTTCTTACAAACAGATGTACACACATACAGGCAGTAGGAACGTGTGTTCCCTGTAATTTGTGAACAGTCCTCCTGGCTCTTCCTCAGGAGCCTGGGTGTTACGGACTCACAGTGCAATCCTAAATAGAGTTACACCCCCTCTAAGCTGATGGAAATCAAGGGTCTTAGAAGCCTGTAGTCCTGTTTAGGATTGTACTGTCTGTCAATGGGTGTGAAACCGGACAGAGGTGAGCTAAGGGCATGTATTTATTATTTATTTTAAACATTTCTGTGCTGCCTTTTCAGAGCCAATGTGTTGTAGTGGTTAAGAGCAGAAGACTCCAATTTGGAGAACAGGGTTTGATGCCTCACTCCTCCTCCACATGGAGCCTGCTGGGTGACCTTGGCCCAGTCACAGTTCTCTTAGAACTCTCTCAGCCCCACCTGCCTCACAAGGTGCCTGTTGCGGGAAGAGGAAGGGAAGGCAATTGTAAGCTGCTTTGACACTCCTTAAGGTAGAGAAAAGCAGAGTATAAAAATCAGCTTTTCTTCTTCTTTCCCCCAAGCTCAAGGTGGCTTTCAAATGTACCAATACAATACTTAATGTTATCAATAAAACAGCATAATGATACAGAACAATAAAACAATACCATAAAAAGAGAGAGAGAGATGGTGTGGTGCAATGGTTAGAGTATTGGCTGGTGAGACCTGGGTTCAAATTCCCATTCAGCCCTCAAGTTTTTATGCAAAAGAACATGCAAGCTGGAATCTGTCACCTGCAGTCTGAGTTGGTTCAATCCATTCTCTACCTTCTGGGGTTGCCAACCTCCAGATGGGGCATAGAGATCTTCCGGCACTATAACTGCCCCCCATATTATAGAGATTAGTTCCCCTGGAGAAACTGACAGCTTTGGAGGGTAGACTCTATGCCATTATCCCCAAATGAGGACCCTCCCTTCCCCACATCCCATCCTCCGCAGGCTCCCAAATCTCCAGGAATTTTCCAATTTGGAGTTGGCAACCCTACAGCGTCTCTTGCCTTCTGCCGCATTATTCCCACCTAATTCTCCTGTGTGACTGAACCAGGCCTGAGTTAATGACACTTGCCTTTGCCAGCGGAAATTGGGGCGCCAGTATCTGAGGGTGCTGCTGGAATGGAAGGAGTTTGACGAAATCCGGGATTTGCGTCGGAGCATCCAACTCGACACCATCTACCACAGTCTGGTGTTTGCTGCTGAGAAAGGCTTGCCCTGGCTGGCTGTGGCAGAAGTCGGGAAACTGACAGTCGAACTGCTGGATGAAACCAAAGGTAAGGTTGATAAAGTGGAAACCTTTCCCCCTAACTCTGAATCTGAATCAGGTGATAGAACATTGGCTTGGCAGGCAGAAGGCCCCAGGTTCACTCTCCAGCACCTCCAGCTGAAAAGACCAGGCAGTAGGTGATGAGAAAGACCTTCGCCTGAGACCCTGGAGAGCCACTGCCTGTCTGAGTTGACAGCATTGACTTTGAAGGACCAAGGGTCTGATTCAGAATAAGGTAGTTTCATTTGTTCATATGTTCAACAGATTATGTTGTGTCTTTCTGGAGCCTCAGAGGTTTGCAACATGGTGAGTCAGCAGAGACTGACACTCTGGAGTTTGGCTACCATCTGTCTGATAAACTCAGAGTAAGGAGGAGCTCGGCCCTCCCGAATGAGGACATAAGATTTGTATGATGTGTCGAAAGCACTGTGTGTACATTATCGTCTGGTAATCCTTGCAACAACCCTGCAAATTAGGCCAGTGTTATCATCTCCACAGTGCAGGTGCCAGGGACTAAGGGAGAGCAGTTTGCTTAGAGGGTAAATGGCAGAGGCAGGATACAAATGGGATTTCCTGAGTCATGGCTCAGCCACTCAGCAATGCTTAGGTTATCATAACAAAGTGGCCCTTTTGAGATGTTATGGATGTGCACCACAAGAGCCTGTCAGCTTTGCAAATCGGGAGCATTTGCTACATTTGAGACTCCCATGCTGTTTGAAAGAGATAGTGCATGGATTTGGCATGCATGTACAGTAGGGTGGCCAGCTCCAGATTGGGAAATAATTGGAGATTTTGGGGGTGGAGCCTGAGGAGGGTGGGGTTTGGGGAGGGGAGGGACTTCAGTAGGTACAATGCTGTAGAGTCCACCTTCCAAAGCAGCCATTTTCTCCAGGTGAACTGTTGTTGTATTCCCAGGAGGTCTCCAGCAACCACCTGGAGGTTGGCAACCCTAGTGAGCAGTCTTTATACATGCTACAGAAAGTCCTGATTTTTTTTCAGAGTTCTGATTCAAGTATACCAAGACTGAAAATCTGCTCACTGCCTGTTTGGTGTAGTGGTTAAATGCGTGGACTCTCACCTGGGAGAACTGGGTTTGATGCCCCACTCCTCCATACACCTGGCTGGATGACCTTGGGAAAGCTGTAGTTCTGATAAGAGCTGTTCTTGAAAAAGAGCAGTTTTTGTCAGAGCTCTCTCAGCTCCACCTACCTCACAGGGTGTCTGTTGTGGGGAGGGGAAGGGAAAGGAGTTTGTAAGCCGCTCTGAGACACCTTTGGGTAGTGAAGGGCGGGGTATAAGTCCAGTCTCCTCTTCTCTTCATCTTCTTTCAGACAATATGGGAACTTCACATATCAGGAGGATTTGTGTGCAATTTCTGGCCTCCAAGTACATGGGGACTGTAATGTCTGAAAAGGGCCACTAAGGTTAAATAGAAATTTCGTACAATGTCCGTGTGATTTTGTTGGATTCCGGAAAACTACACGGGTTTGACCTGACCTCTCCTTAGTACATCAGTGGGCTGCATGCATCCTTTGTTAGCATTTTTCAGTGCTGGGTTTGCACACAGCCAACAGTAAGTTAGTGTTCAATTATTCCTGGAACATCTAATGAGAGTTATCCCAGTGCTGCTTAAAAGAGGCAAGGACTACAGACTTGTTAAGGTGTGTGTTCAGATTCAGGATCGGAATGCCATTTTCCCACTCTTGATGGTGTGCCTTTAAAACCAGATCAAGCCTTCAGGAGTTTGGGTGTGGTCTTGGACACCTCCTTATCAATGGAGGCCCAGATCACAAACATTGCCAAATGGGTGTTTTATGCTAGCTTTTTACCAGCTGCGCCAGGTGAGGCCGCTGGCCCCCTTCCTGGCTCACCCTGACCTGGCCACAGTAATCCATCCAACAGTCACCTCCAGATTGGATTAATGTAACTCGCTTTACGCCGGCCTATCCTTGAGACTGATCTGGAAACTCCAGCTGGTCCAGAACGCAGCCGCTTGGGTCCTAACGGGGACATCACAGACAGCACATATTCAGCCTCTGCTGCGTTAGCTGCACTGGCCTCCAGTGGAGTACTGGGTAAAGTTCAAGGTTTTGGTACTGACCTTTAAGGCCTTGAGTGGTCTGGGACCCATATGTCTTTGGGACTGCCTCCGCTGGTATGTCCCCCGAAGAGCCTTACACTCTGCTGAAAACAACCTACTGGTGATCCCGAGCCCAAAACATGTCCGGCTGTCCTAGATCAGAGCCAGGGGGGGCCTTTTCAGCCCTGGCTCCCACCTAGTAGAACTCTCTGCAAAATACCATCCGCGCCCTGTGGTACCCGGCACAGTTCCGCAGGGCTTGCAAAGCAGAGTGTTCCACCAGGCTTTTGGCTGAGGACAGTACGTACCATCCTATCTGGCACTCCCTTTCCTTCCCCCATCCTGCTTTTTCTTTATCTGTTTGCAAGACAGTCATGCAATTTAGTAAACTGATCTTAGCGCCATCTGAAAATGTTTTTAGTTATTTTAATTCTTTGGATTTTAAATTATATAGAATTTCTGTTGTTAACCACCTTGAGCTCTGTAAACTCGGAGAAAGACAGTTTATAATTTGAAATTATAAATAAAATACATAATATGAGGTCAAGGAGAGTAGGATCAGGGGTCTTTTGGGGCTGGAGCGCTGCTCCGGGAGCCCAGGCGCCGGAGGGGTGGCAGCAAGCCCCACCCCCAGCTCGCCACGCTGCAGCCCCCTGCCGCCCCCCAGGGCCAGTGCCAGAGCGCTGCGGCCCTGGGAGGGCAGAAGAGCC